CACACACACACACCCACACACACACTCTCTCACACACACACACACACACACACACTCACAGACACACACGCTTACACACACACTCACTCACTCACTCACAGACCTACACACACACACTTACACACACACACAGACTCACACACTTACTTACACACACACACTTACACACACACAGACTCACACACTTACTTACTTACACACACACACACAAACACTTACACACACACACACACACACACACACACTTACAGACACACACTTGCACACACTCACAGACACACACATACAGAATTATATATACTCAAATGAACTATTACCATGTAGCCAAAATGAGTCAGAAAACTGAAATAAGAGGTTAAGATCAGATCAGATCAGACCCAGAAGGATTAAGCTCTGATAAAGCGTTCCTGTTCATTCTTGTTACATTTTTATAGAATTTTAATGTTTTGTGTAACAAAATGCTTTCTGTGTTCAGGTTTGAATGTAGTAATAATAATGCAAAAACAAATTATTGCATAAATATTAATTAGCACCATAAAAATCTCTCAAAATACACGAGAAAAGAAACAAATATTATTGAACAAAAATATATTTTACTGAAGAAAAAAAAGTTACATTTCAGGTGTCCGGTCACTTTTGACCGCGAAGACCTCCCAAATGAGGAGTGCACAGGATTAAACTATTTTTCATTGCATGTGCATCATAAATAACTATTATGACATACAGTATGTTAATGTGATGTAAAATCATTTCTAGTGTGATATGAGATTCAGTCATGATATTTTGGCCATGTCAGGCTGGTGTTAGAGCAATGGCTATTCTGGCTTCCTATAACACCATGCACGAGTGCAGGGCTTCATGATGCACTGGTTTTGTCACGTGTCTGTGCTGCAGGGCGTGTTTGACCAGCGGATGAAAACATGGGCCAAATGCCAGGATGCTCAGGTGATGCTGCAGCGCAAGAGAGAAGCCGAAGCCAAACTACAGCACGCCAACAAACCCGACAAACTGCAGCAGGCCAAAGACGAGATCAGAGAGGTACAGAACACCTCAGACTCATCATGAGGAAACACTGAGAGAGCGCTGGGGCTGATGGGAAATATCCAGCACGTTTGTTTGCCTTCCCTCCCTTCGGTTCCTTCATATCTCTGCTGTGTTTACCTCGAATCACCTGACAGCTGCAGGAATCCATGACAGTTATTGATTCTTTTAAGCACGAAACATTTCCAGCCTTTTTAATTTCTGCGTTTTCCCCGTCACGCCCCACAAAGGAGATCGAGGAGGTAGGAC